AAATTCCTTGGGACCTTCCCTACCTCCTTACCAGGTAGTTGTCGCGATGCTTCCTGGGCCCTGTGCCATGACACCTTTTAATGCAGACTCGGAGTCTCCCTTTCCTCGTCGAATTCCCACGTTAGGTGCCAGATGTCACATCCTGCGTGGCAAGAGCAATGGAAAACGAGAGGCGCAGAGTTAAAGAGCACAAGAGAAGAGATAAGGCTAAAGTGGGGCCAGGGGGAATCAGCCTCTAAGGACTGAGTCCCGAATTGGGCCATCACATGGCTTTGATTGAGAAAATTTCAAGGAAGTAAAACTGGATTACTCAAAGATCCGTGTGCTACCTGCCTTAAGGCTGTTTTCCATTAACCAGCTCCCATTGTATTCCAACATGTACGATGCCTTCATACAGCCTGCACAACCCCCAGGACAGCGTTACTGTATTGCGTCCATCCGAATAAGAAAGATGACCGGTATCATTCCATCAGGTCTCAGCATTCCAAGACACTTCCTCAGGACCTTGTTAGTTCAGGGGTTAGTGTGGGGGGTCAGTCGTGGACATAGCTGTAAGACAACAGTGAGTAATTAAACTTTCCATAACTTCTTGATGTGTGTGTGTGTGTGTGTGTGTGTGTGTGTGTGTGTGTGTTGTCATCAGTCTCAACATCCCAACCAAATTTTGGGTTGGGGGTCCATACTGTACTTGCAGATTGGCAACAATAGATATGAATAGGTCTTATCACAGATTACACAATCATATAGGTAGAAAATCCAAAGGAACCTCCAAAACCCTAGTAGAAATATCAATGATCATTTAGCAAACTAACAAGCTACAAGATCAAAATACAAAAAGCAATTGTATTTCTGTATACTGGCAATGAACAATTGGAAACTGAAATTTAAAAAATACCATTTACGGGCTGGCTGAGTGGCATGTTGGTTAGGAGTTGGCTTGGGACACCAGCTCTGAGCAGCAGGGCCCCAGTTCAGATCCCACATGAGGGCCAGTGACACTGCCCTCTACAGTTAAGATGGTGAACAACAGCTCAACCTGGAGTTGGGCTGCCGTGAGTCGTTGGCGACGGTGTAGACTGCAGCTCCTGCTGCAGTGGGCTGCCATAAGCTACCGTGTGTAGCTGGCAGCCAGCATGAGCGGCCGGCAGCCGGTGTGAGCTGCCAAGAGCCGCTGTGAGTGGCCGTCCAGAGGCCGGTGACCGATCTGACTCACCCGAGAAGAGTGCAATGATAATACCAACATGGGCCAGTGAAGCAACGTCCTCCACAACTAGACTGAAGAACAAAAAGACATCAACTTGTTTGTTCCCCTTCCCCCAATTCCCCAGCGCTGTTCCCCTCCCCCAATTCTCCAATAAAATCTTAAAAAGAAAAAAAATACCATTTATGGACCAGCTGAGTGGCGCATTGGTTAAGAGCTGGCTTGAGACGCCAGTTCTGAGCAGCAGGGCCCCGGGTTTGGATCCCACATGCAGGCTAGTGATGCTGCTCCCTCTACAGCTAAGATGGTGAACGGCAGCTCAAACTGGAGCTGGGCTGCTGTGAGTTGCCATCAACAACGTAGGCTGCAGTGGGGCTGGGCAGTGGGGCTGGCCGGCAGCTGGCCTGTGCTTTCGTGAGCTGCTGTGAGCCACCATGAGCGGCCATCCAATAGCCGGCGAGCGACTGCCTCACCCGGGAAGAGCGCAATTATCACAATACCAACATGGGCCCGTGAAATGACATCCTCCACAATTAGACTGAAGAACAAAAAGGACAGCAACTTGTCTTTCCCCTTCCCTGATTCACCAACGCTGTTCCCCTCCCCCCAATTCTCCAATAAAATCTTTTTAAAAAAATACCATTTACAATAGCATCAAAAACTCTGAAATACTCAGTAAATCTGGCAAAAGATTTCATAATCCTTACATTAAAAACTACAAAATATTGCTGAGAGAAATTAAAGACCTAAATAAATGGAGGAGTATGGTGTTCATGGGTCATGAGTTTCACCATTTTAAAGATGTCAGTTCTCGGGCCGGCCGAGTGGCGCGATGGTTAAGAACTCGCTTGGGATGCCAGAGGGCCCTGGTTCGGATCCCACATATGAGGGCCAGTGACACTGCCCTCCACAGCTAAGATGCTGAACAACAGCTCAACCTGGAGCTGGGCTGCCATGAGTCGCTGGCGACGGCGTGGGCTGCAGTCCCTGTGGCAGTGGATTGCCATGGGCTACCGTGTGTGGCCAGCAGCCAGCGTGAGCGGCCAGCAGCCAGCGTGAGCGGCCAGCAGCCGCAGTGAGCGGCCGTCCAGAAGCCGGCGACTGATCTGCCTCGCCAGAGAAGAGCGCAATGATGGTGCCAACTTGGGCCAGTGAAGCAACATCCTCCACAACTAGATTGAAGAACAAAACGACAGCAACTTGTCTGTTCCCCTTTCCCCAATTCCCCAGCACTGTTCCCATCCCCCCAATTCCCCAATAAAAAAATCTTTAAAAAAAAAAAAAAAAAAAAAGATGTCAGTTCTCCATAAATTGACATGTATACTCAACACAACCTCAAAATCAAAATCCCAGGTAGGTTTTTTGGGAGGTCCAAATTGACAAATTCCCTCTAAAATTCTCCTAGGTGTTTACCCCCCCCCCAAAATTTAAATTTATGTTTGCACAAAAATACTGTTCATGAATGTATATACAGTTTCAGTTATAACAACCAAAAGTTGGAAATTACCCATGTGTTCTTCAATGAGTGAATGGCTAAGTAAACTGTAATATGTCCACATGAAATAAAAAGGAATGAATTACTTATACATGTAATAACATGTATGAATCTTCAGGGAATTATGCTGAGTGAAAAAGCCAATACCAAAATTACATATCATTTATATAATATTCTTGAAAGATAAAATTATAGAGATGGAGAACAGATTAGGGTTTCCAGGCCTTATGGAGGGTGTTGGTGGGGCAGGGTGAGGAGGGAAGTAGGTGTAGCTATAAAACGACAACATAAAAAAATCCTTGTGATGATGGAAATATTCTAATATTGACTATATCAGTGTTAATACCCAGGTTGTGATACTGTATATAGTTTTGCAAAATGTTACCACTGGGGGAAAATGTACATGGGGGGGAGGTCTCTGAATTAATTCTTAAAACTGCATGCAAATCTAGAATTACCTCAGAATAAAAAGTGAAATTAAAAAAAAACAAAAACGAGGCCAAAACCAAAACAAATTCTAAGGTGGTAGGCCAAAACCCAACTACATTAAATGTAAATTCACAAAATGTCAAATTAAAGAGTAAGATTGTCATTATTTAAAAAATAATGCTGTTTAATAAGAAACACACTTTAAAAAACAGAAAGATTAAAAGTGAAAGGGTAGAAAGTGGTAAACCATGTACTAGCCAAAAGAAGGATGGTGAAGCTATAATAATATCAAAATAGACTAAGAAAAAAAGCAATATTATAAAGGGAAAATTCCGTAATTTCCTGTTGGATCAATTCATCAGGAAGCTATTACAAGTCTAAATATGTTCATCCAATAAGAGAGCTTCAAAATATATAAAGCAAAGCTTACCAGAAATACAAGGAGAAATAGACAAATCTACAGGTATAAAAATGAAACCAAGAAGCTGGAGGGACACAGAACAGCCAACTCTGTTCTTTTCTCATCTCTTAACAAAACAATTAGCAACGACAATTCTTACAGTAGACAGAAAAAAATTTACTGTTGGTAAAGATACATGAGACAAATAAGCAACTTATTTGGAGGACATGTTCTCTCTGCATAGTGTTTGACTGAGGGACCCTGGTCCCTTCCCAGGCATTGATTCACACTGAAGTAGTGCCCTTTATCAATCTAGTGAAAGGAAGACTATCTTTTACTGCATTCTAGACATAGTCCTTTGGGTTTTGTATAGCTACATGGTAAATTTATGAGCCAGAAGTCCCTGATATCTTCAAGGACTACAAATTCCTGATATTAATTATCATGCTGTAGTCTCCAGCATTTTATTCTCTTTGCCAACATGCCATAGCAAAAGCACAGGCTAGTGTTTTCATAGATATTTTCTCCATTTTAGTCTACTGAAAAATTATTCCATCGAGTCTTCAACTTTCACTGTCAATTATCTTTTAATTCTGAAGTTAGAGTGCAACCCATATGAAATGCTGAAAAAAAGAATCAGGTCTTTTAGTTGAGAGTGACAAATAGTCAGGTTTGCTTGATTCTTAGGTTTTTGCTCTTGGTGACTTCTCCAGTATCCACTTACACTCTTACTCCTGTTGTTGAGGCTATGAATTCTTGACATAAACTTTCATTTGATGGCTCAATGTCTTGGCCTTCTTCAACAATGCCTTTCTAAATTACCTTTGTCCATATCACACCGAATGTAGAGCAAAAGCATGGGTGTTTCATTAATACATATTCACAAATCTCTATAATTTCTCCCATTTAATATTTTGTGACTCTGGTTTTTAATGACTTACGGTAACCTTAAAAATTTCAACATTGTAAAAGGGACCAGTCAGAAAATCAGAAACACAAATAATTGACACAAGCACACTGTCTCTGACAAAACTGCAGGATTAAAATCAAACGGCCACAAGAACATACGACGGAACTGGACGGAACTAAACGCACTAAACGGTGCTCCCTTCATGGACCAGGCATTGTAACCCCAGGAATCCCAAGATCCAGCTAACCGTAACAAGGAAGTGACCTTTTTGCAGAAATAGAATTGGGCCGCGAAGGCCTCTGGGAAATGTAGTCCGCTGCTGGAAAGCTGCGGACCTTTTCAGATTCTTCTCAGAACCAAAATCCACTCCCAGACTCCGAGTGCCCGGCTCAAGGTAATCCGCTTCCGTTAAACCTTAAACTGAGCTTCCCTCCCTGCCCCCCCTCTCGCCCCCTCCCCGACCTGGGCGCCCTTAAACGCCGCGATTGGTTATTCCCATTATTCGCAAACAGGCAGGCCAATCCTCTGGGTGGGCCGCGGGGGCGTCTGGGAAGTGTTGTCCTGCGACTAACGGCCCAAGGTTTGTGCTGCCCCCAGCCACAGCCGGCACTGACCCTAGTGTCGCCTGTACCTCAGCCCGCATCCGCTGTGACACTTGGGCGGCGTTGAGATGTGGGATTGAGTCCTGTGTCTGCGGGCTCGGTGGTGAGTCCTCGGGAAGTCGCGAGCTCTGAGTCTGGAACTCTTTGTGCCGGGTGGGAGTAGGGGCCTGCGGACCCGTGCCAGTGTTGGAGGAGGATGCCGGGCAAGGCTATGCCCGTGCGGGTGGTTCCCAGAGACCGTAGGAGTGGCATGTTAAGAATGAGCGTGTGGCGTGGTGTTAACTGTATTTGCCAGATATTTGTCTGTCACTGAGTGTGGCCGTGAGATCGTGTAGATGAGCGGATTTTGTGGATGTGCTTTTCCTTTTATGTTTCAATATGAACGTGGGTGCGAGCGTGCGTGACTTCTGGGATCGTGAGTGAATGAGAAACTCAGCAGATGGAAGGCAGAGTCTGGGTAAACTGTGAGACTGTTTGTACCAGTGCTTCATTTCTTCAGTTATGGTAATAGGAAATATGTTTTTATATGAGGCGTCAATAGCCCCAACACTTTATTCTAATATTTATTTTAAGTTTTATTTCTGTGTATTAGACACGTTGCTTTGTGTGCATACTAACTTCTTGCTCCTTGCCCCCCACTCTCCACACCAAATCGCAAAATACAGAAAAGCTGAAAGAAAACAAGAATCATTCATAATTCTACCAGCCACTATCAAATTTACATCCCATCTTTTCACCTCTCTGTCTGTGGATACTTACATACATATGCATTCATATATTATTATATATGTGCATAATAGCTTTAAATTGTAGTCACTATGTAATACTGTTCTATTACCCACCTTTGTCACTTAACAAACACAAAATCTTTCCATTTAAACAATTACAAATCTGTGTCATCATTTTAGTGTTTCATGGTATTTATGCATTTAAATGCATTTATCCCTGTTGATTTGATTCTCTCCAACTTCTTACCATTGCTGTGGACCAGAGTAGTAAAAATGGTGTTTTTCAGCAACTGTTAGGCACAGGCTATAGTGTACTTTCTTAATTTTGGGGTTATGAGGGTGGAGCAGAAGTAGAACTGATGGGTCAAAATGTATGCACTTACTAAAGGCTCCCTAATCTATCCAATTATTCTCCTGTAATGTTCCAATAATTTACAGTATTATTGGCATAGTATAAGATTACCTATATTCATACACCCTTGATAACAATGGATATCATTAATATTTGAAATCTTTGTTAACCTCATAAATGTAAAATAATTTATTTAATTTGCAGTTGTTTGATTACTACTGAAGTCAAGCAATTAAAAATCTTTTTGTGAATTGTGTTTTCTGTTTTACTAATGCAGTGTTCTATTTTCAAATTTCTTTTGTAGAATTCTTCATGTATTAAGGATTCATTCATTTACTCACCATTTATTGAATGTCGCCTTTGTGTCAGGAACAATTCTAGATGCATTGAACAAAAGAGACAAACTCCTTGCTATCATGGTACTTATATTGTTGTGGGCCAGATAAGAAATGAGGTAAGTTAAATATAAATAGTGAAAAAATACTAAGAGAAAATATAAAGCAGAAAGATAAATAGAATTAGGAATGGGAGTTGGAGTTTTAGATGGGGTAGCCAGGGAAGGTATCCTGAAAGCATAATAATAAAGATATGAAGGAAGTAAAGGAGCTAGTTATGCATTTAACTGAGGGAAGGTTATTCCTGGCAGAGGGTCCTGAGGTGGTAACATGCCAGTTACAATGAAGAGGCTGGTGTGGCTGAAAGATCAAATGAGCCGGTGAGTGGTGAGGGATGAAAGTAGAATGGTAAGTGGAGGGAAGGAGGACAGTCAGGCTGGGCCTTATGGGCCATATTAATGAACTTGACTTTTACTCTGAATGAGATGGGAAGCTGTTGGAGAATTTTGATCATGGGAGTGATATCTGCATATAATTTAAGATGATTGCTTTGGCTGCTCTGATGAGAGGACTACAGGAAGAAGAATGGAGGAAGGAGGTGGGGACAAGGGCAGAAGCAGAGAGAACAACTAGGAAACTGTTGCAATAATCTAGGGAAAAGATGTTGGTGACCTGGACCAGAGTAGTAAAAATGATGAAAAGTAATCATGTACTGGATATAATTTAAAGGTAGAGCTGACATAATTTGCTAACAAAACTGATGTGGAATGTAAGTATGACAAGATGACACAATATTTTTTATCTGAGCAACTTGAAGAATAACTAGAGTTATCATTAACTGAGAAGTGAAAGAAAGAAGGAAAAACTGATTGGGACTTAGGGAGTTAGTGAGATTTTAGTTTAGAATATATTATGTGAAGTGTGAGATGCCTATTAGACATTCAAGGAGATATTAAGCTGGCAGTGGGTTATACAAGTCTGAAATTCAAAAGAAAGATCTAAGATCTAGGCTGGAGACATGCATTTGGGAATTATCAGCATATAGATGATATTTAAAGTCCAAAGACTGGATGAAGTCACTTAAAGGGTAGGTTAGATAGAAAAAAGGAGATAGAGGACTTATTTCTGGATTGCTCCAACATTATATAATCTGGGAAATCAAGAGGCACTAGTGAAAGAGACTGAAAGGGACAAACTAGAATGGTTGGAAGATAACTAGTTGAGTATCCTGGAAACCAAGGGAAGAATGTGTTTTAATGAGAACTGTGTCAAATGCTGCTGATAGGCCAAGTAAAAGACGACTGAGAAAGGAACACTGAATTTAGCAACATGAAAGTTATTGATGACTCTGAAGAACAGTTTTAGTGGAGTATGGGGTCAAAGAATGAATTGGAGAAGAAAAATTTGGCAACTCAAATTTTTTCTCTAAATGGAAGGAGTGAAATGGAGTGATATATGTAGCTAAGAGGTATATAATAACTGTTTATATACTGATTGAAATTATTCATTTGAGAAAGAAACTTGATGGTGCAGGAGAGAAACAGGAGAAATACTATAGACGTGCCCTTAAATAGCAAAACAAATGTTAGGGATTTAAAGAAAGAGGAAAAGAGTAAAATAAACAGGAGAGTGGGACAGAGAATAGAGAAATACGATTTCCAGGCAGCATTGAAGACTCACTTGATGTTAATATTTGTGACTTTAAAGTGAGCCTATTCCACATGTTTTTAAAATTTTTCTCCTGCAGTGTTCATCTTCACAGCTATAGCCACAGATTGGGTAGGGGAAAGTTGGATTTAACCAGAGTGTTGGTTTCATGAAGTAAGTAGAATAATGTGAGAGGGAAGGGAGCCTAAGTTGACAAGAATTAACTATATTGATTGACTGAATTTTAGGCCAGATAAGTAGAAAAGCGAGATTAAGAAGAGGGTGAGGGACAGTGCAAAATTGGTAGAATGAAGGAATAGAAATTCCTGATGGGGTTGAAAGACTGTTGGGTTGAAATACTAGAGGAAGTAAAGTGAAGAGATAGAAGGGTATTTTTTCCTTTAGTTGTTTAGTTTTTAAAATAGAACAGTCCCTCTTTTTACCACCATACTAGTTTTAAAAAACATGGGTGACTATTAACTATATTTCAGTAGTGGTTATGAAATGGTGATATTTGGGAATTGTGATTGGAATTAATTTTAGAAATAATATTGGGAAAACTGGCATCTTAACCATCCCGACTTTTCTATTATTAAGCATGGTATTTATTTAAGACTACTTTTATGACCTTCAATAAATTGAATGAAGTTTCTTGATTAGGCTGTTACATAGCTTTTGTTTGAATTATTCCTAGTACTTTAGAGTTCTGTTGCTTTTGTGAATTGTGAATAGGTTAGTTAAAATTCCACATAGATCTCCTGTGTTGAGGTCACCTCTCTCCTGGTTAAGCAGCTCCTGGTTGTAACCTTTGACTATCTTCCAGAGTTCCTGTAAGGTTGATTCTAACAGGTTTTCCCAGATTTTTCAGTTTCTGGGAATAAATGGACCACAAGAGCTCCCTGTCCTTCCATTTTCACTGATGTCACTCCCATCCTTTACTTTTAACCTATTTGAGTGTTTATATTTAAAGTGTGTTTCTTATAGACATATGTACTTGGGTCTTGGTGTTTTTATCCACTCTGATAATTTCAGGCAACCTGAGTATCCGTCTATGAGTGAATGGATAAAGAGTAGGTGGTACAGGGCTGGCTGAGTGGTTCAGTTAGTTAAGAACTCTGACCAACAGGGCCGCCGGTTTGATTCCCACATGGGCCAGTGACGCTGTGCCCAAACTGAGCTGCTGCTGAGCTGCCAACAGGTGGCAGGATGTCAGCTGGTGAGGGCACATGCTCTTAACAACAAGGCTGCCTGTTTGATGGTAGGCTACGCCTACCCTCAACTAAGACTGAACTCAGCACCTTGAGCTGAGCTGCCACCCAGATGGCTCAGTGGAGTGTGCGCTCTTAACAACAAGGCTGCCAGTTCAACTCCCGCATGGGATGGTGGCTATGCCCACCTGCAACTAAGACTGAACTTGGCACCTTGAGCTGAGCTGCCACCTCGATGGCTTAGTGGATAGGGCGTGCGCTCTTAACAATAAGGCTGCTGGGTTGGACTCCTGCTTGGGATGGTGGCTACGCCCACCCGCAACTAAGATCGTAACACAGCACCTTGAGCTTAGAGGCCATGAGCTGCCAATGGCCAGCCAGATGGCAACTGGTGCTCTCCACAACTAAGATTGAAGAACAACAACTTGGCTGGTCCCCCTCCCCAATTCCCCAACACTGTTTCCCTCCCCCAATTCCCCAATTAAAAAAACAAAAAAAATAGGTGATACGTATATACAATGGAATATTGTTTGGCCAGGGAAGGGAATGGGTTCTTGCCATCTGCAGCAGCATGGATGGACCTAGAGGGTATTGTGCTGAGTGAAGCATGTCAGACAGAGAAAGACAGATACAATGTGATTTCGCTTATATATGGAATCTAAAGAACAAAATAAACAAACAAATAAAAATAGAAATAAGTAGGGGGCCGGCCAAGTGGCTCAGTTGGTTAAGAGCTCACTCAAGAGTGCAAGCTCTGAGCAACAGGGTCGCCGGTTTGATTCCCAGCCCGAGCTGAGAGCAGCAGCTCAGCTGCCAGCAGGTGGCAGGATGGCTCAGCTTAAAAAAAAAATTAAAAAAAAAATAGAAATAAGTATAGATATAGAGAACATTTTCATGGTTGCCAGGTGGGAGGGGGGTTGTGGAGGTAGGTGTAAAAGGGGAAGGGGCTAAGAAGTATGAATTAGTTGTTACAAAGTAGTCATGCGGATGTAGGGTATAGCATAAGGAAATAGTCAATAATATTGTAATAACTATGTGTGGTGTCAGATGGGTACTAGATTTATCAGGATGATCAGTGGGGGGTTGAGGCAGAGGGTGAAAAAGGTAAAGGTATTAAGAAGTACAAATTGGTAGTTACAAAATAGTCATGGGGATATAAAGTGAAGCATAGAGAGTATAATCAGTAATATGGTAATAACTATGTGCAGTGCCAGGTTGGTACTGGACTAGTCAGAGGATCACTTCTTAAATTATACAAATGTCTAACCACTATGCTACACACCTGAAATTAATATAAAATAGTATTGAATGCCAACTGTAATTGAAAAATTTTACAAAGGGAGGGAAGGTGAATGGGAATAAGAAGTTCAAATTTCCAGATATAAAAGAAATAAATGATGGGGATGTAACATAGGGAATATAGTCAATAATACTGTGATAGCGTGGTATGGTGTCAGATGCTGCTGGACTTATGGTGAGCACTTCTTTAGGTATATGAATGTTGAATAACTATGGTGTACACCTGAAACTAATATAATATTGTATGTTAGCTATATTTTAATAAAAATCTTAAAAAAAAATAATTCTCACCAAACTAGGAATAGAAGGGAACATCCTTTAATAAAGGCCATCTAAAAAAAAGAAGAAAGATAAAACTTACAGCTTACATTGTAGTTAATGGTGAGATACTGAATGCTTTACCCCTAAGACTGGGAACAAGGCAAGGATGTCCTCTGTCACCATGATTCAACATCATCATATTGGAAGTACTAGCCAGTGCAGTAAAGCAAGAGAAAAACATAAAAGGCATACAAATTAGGAAGAAAATATGTCTGCTTCTAGACAACATGATTAAGTCGAAAACCCCAAAGAATCTACAAAATGCTCCTACAACTGTAAATCATTTTTTTTTTAAAGATTTTTATTGGGGAATTGGGGGATGGGAACAGCGCTGGGGAATTGGGGAAAGGAGAACAGACAAGTTGCTACCCTTTTTGTTCTTCAGTCTAGTTGTGGAGGACGTTGCTTCACTAGCCCAAGTTGGCACCATCATTGTGCTCTTCCCGGGCGAGGCAGATCAGTCGCCGACTTCTGGACAGTTGCTCACAGTGGCTGCTGGCTACACACGGTAGCCCATGGCAACCCACTGCAGCAGGGGCTGCAGCCTACCCTGCCTCCGGTGACTCACGGCAGCCCAGCTCCAGTTGAGCTGTTGTTCAGCATCTTAGCTGTAGAGGGCAGTGTCACTGGCCCTCATATGTGGGATCCGT